AGAAACACTCTAAATTTTTAATTAAAAAGACTGTAAAATCACTGTATTACAGAAATGAGATCTGAGCATCAGCATTGAGAATTATGAAACATAAATAAATACATTATGGCAAAAAGACTAAGGGGGAAATATGCATAATTATCATGAAAATGTTACAATGCAAAATAATATGACTGTCCTAAAAAAAAATAATTGTATTCAAAATACTTTTGCACTGATTTTAGGGTGACCAATGTGTTCTTGTGAGATTCACCCATTTACTTGTATGTATGACTAGATAAAAGCAAGTCATAATGAGTAAACAAAGTAAAAAGGTGAAAAACATTGTGTTTACTTGATGTTGTTACTGAGGCCTGTATCCGGGTCCACAGCGGCCACTCTTCCCACCACACATGCTGGAGGACAGTTTTCCGACACATCCAGCCGGTACCGCGAGCGGGAGAACTTCGGCGGCTCGTCTGCGTTCAGAACTGTGATAAGCACCATTGCCCGGTCCTTAAACGGACCTCGTCTGAGGAATCGCGAGTCCACTTTTGGGTTTTGCACCTCCACTGCGAGAGAGTAGGTGCTTCGCCTCTCATAGTCCACGACCTGGTGTTCAAGATAAAAAAAAACACTTCCTCATAAAACACTCATTTATTGAAACTCACATACACCATCATTCTTTTTACTGTGTGTTGGCACCAGGAAGGCGCTCTAAAATATCTTTTCATTTCAGTGAGATGTTGAAGCTCCCACGTTCACACCTTTTTCATCTCTGCACCTCCATTAGAAAAAGAAAAACCCATCTAGAGAGTACAAAAAAGCGATGTGTCTGGATTTCAGTGCTTCATAACTTAAACGACTGCAAGGCTTGCTCTGCTGGTATTAAGACGGAAGGAAGTCATGGATGTGGTTATATTAACATCCATAACCCCTTCAGAACTGTATTAGAGGTTGTGGATGCACTTTTGACACTGGACAAAATGAGATTGGAGAACCGTAGGTGTCCACAATCAAAGTGTCAGAAGATGCAAGCGATGTAAAATAACAGGACAACATTATGAGCCGGTCAAGAAAGTAAATGGGGTCTATTTTGATGTCATGTTGACTTTAAAGGAGGCGTTAAGGAAAACGGGAGTGACATGAGCACATGATGTGACCAATCATATTTACATAACTTACAGAGAATTTAAAGGTGCAGAAGCGAACGCTTCTGGCTACTGAAGCTCAATTTCATGTGTTGCTACATTCCAAAATGTGTGCCTGCAATGCATTGGCCAAGAATTCGCATCTGCATTTGCAGATTTGGGTAGTTTTTGGCCAAAGGGTCAAAGGGAAAGTGGAAAATAGTGCAGTAACATTAAATAACAGTAAATATCACAGACAGACACAGACAGACACAGACATAGATATTTTGATTCAGCTAAAAGGTGGAATCTCTTCTCTATCCTGTCCTTCGGATGAGACGTTAAACCGAGGTCCTGACTCTCTGT